TGCCTTCTGGGTTTGCACTCCCAACCTCAGAGCTCTCTGATTTGGTTTTGAACTTGGTTAGCCTGTCTTTGCTCTGGGCATGCTGAGGGCACTGAACTGAGAGCTGGACAACCTGGGTTCCACTATCAGTTTACTTCCCTTCTCTGGGCCTCAGTTTCCCTCAAAATGAAGAACATCATTTCCATGTCTAAAGAGATAGACTGATATGCTGAGATTTGTGCATCAACATGGTTGCTGCAGCATTGCTTGTACTTAAAAATTGGAATCATTGTCAATGTCTGTCAGGAAGGTATTGGTATTTCACTTAAATACTGTGCAACCCTGTATGCAATGACATGAAAAGATATCCAAGGGGCAGTGATATAAGCTTATGTATGATCTCATTTTTATAAAAAAGAAAATAATGCTCACTTCAGCAGTGTATATTCTAAGTATATCTTGTGTGAGCTTACTTATGCTTGCATTGAGAGAGGTTTGGAAGGGTAATTCTAAAATATGAATAGTGGTTTAGTATTTGAGATCAAAGAGAAGATGGATCTCAGGGCGGTGAGTGGCTCACGGGGAACTTCGACTTCCACCTGTCTGCATTTCTGTATTATTTGAATAATTTTACAATGAGAATATACAACTTTATAATAGAAAATATGATAAAAATATTTCCATTTTGAGACAAAAAATAGGGTTTCTTTCCTAGCTTTAACCCTGATTTTTTGTGTGGTTTTCTTTTTAGCTCTGCCTTAGGTCAAAATAGAAAAAAAGAAAGTGCTCATATACCCACTGGCAAATGATCACAAGACCAAAGGCCAAGGGGCCCTGCAGGGAAGGACTGGGAGCTCACAGCTTGGGCGGGGTGTTTGTGGGGATAAATCTGCTAGGGCCTTCCCTGGAGAGGCCGGGAGCCCTTTGAACTGGTGACTTGCTGTGCTGGTGCTGCCCCCTGCTGGTTCACCTACATATCTCTAGTGCTCAGAAATGCAGGAAGATGCTGAAGTCTAATTCCCATGGCTGCTCTCTATTCATGCACTTAAACGTGTATCTCCCATATGCACAGAAAATTGTTAGAGTGATAATAGAGAAGTTGAAGCTGTTTTTCAGCCTAAACTATCTCCAGAATGCCTTCTTGTTCTCCTCTAGAAGGGCCCCACTTCTCAGGTGTCAAGATGAGCAGGGCAGCACTGGCTGCAGGAGTCTGGAGAGCATAGTTCCTCCTCGGGGTCTCTCTTTTCCCAAAGCTATGTCAAGGTTTTGTGTAGGCAACCTTGAATACACAGTGCTGCTGGTTAATTCCACACTGGAGAGCATAGTTCCTCCTCGGGGTCTCTCTTTTCCCAAAGCTATGTCAAGGTTTTGTGTAAGCAACCTTGAATACACAGTGCTGCTGGTTAATTCCACATGATTTTCATGCCTTGCAGTCCAGAGAATTCTACAGCCTTGGTGAAAAGCCTGGACAACACAAAGAAAGCTAATCCAGAGGTGAGAGAAGAACTCTGCCCTTTTGCCGCTGTGCCCTGTGAGGGGAAGGCGGACACACGCACCAGCACGAAGCACTAAGTAGATGCAGGAGGTGCTATTATCATTCCCTTGGGACTGTGTCTTACCTGTCTTATGTCTCAGCTCGCAGGCCAGTGCCTGGTACACAGCAGGGGCCTAAGAAACCTTTACACTAGAATAAGAGCCTCCCTATAAGGAGTGGAGTGGGGTGGGGGTGGGCTGGGCCAGACCAGCCTGGGCAGCAGATCCTCATAGTGGGCCAAGGAAGGAGCACTGGACTTGGAGTCAGAGAGCTCTGCCACTTCCCTGAGCCTCATCAGTAAAATGAGGAAAAGGACAAACATATTAGCCCTGCTGGCCACAGTGTTATTGTAAGGCTCAAGTAAATTGATGACATGTGAGTGCTTTGTAATCTACAAGACACTGTGTAAATGTGAGGGGGAATTATGGTACATTCAGGAGTTAAGGAATTAATGGTTAAGATTAAACATTCAGGGACCTGTAGAAAAGAGAGGACCAAGAAGAACTTTTTCCTCCATGTTGGTTTGTAACGAATTTATAAATAATTGCTACTTGTGGCTGAGAAATGGATTAATCTCCTCTAACTCCTATTCTCTCCCTTCCTTCCTTCCTTTCTCTCCCCCCACCCCCTTCTTTCTCTTTTAAAAACTCCTCTTTGTATAGTTACCTTTCTATCTAGTGGGCCTCTTCTGGAGGCCCCTGCACCATGTTGGGAGAAAATTGCCACTAGATGACTTTTCTTTCCCAAAGAGTGACAGGACTGTGAATCATGAAGTGTCACCAGCCTCACAGATGTGAGGTTCAGAGAGGGCTGCCACCTCTGAGAGGGATGATGACAATTAGCTGCTGATTAATGCCATGCTGCCATGACTCTAATTCAAAGAAAATACACACAGAATATAAATCATTTAGCAAGATAAGGATTCCCTGCTGCTACCTAAATGTCCATCTAAACAAAGATATTTGGCTTTTGAAGCAAAGAATTTGGTTCTTAAGACAGTGCTCTTTGCTGTTAATTTTCAAGAAGACTGAAGACTGGATTATCATTATTGATGATAATTCTCTAGTTCTCAGTAACACTCTCAACTTACTGGTTGATGCCCTGCAAATAGGAGTAAGTGGACTTTTCTCTGGCATATAACATTTGCCTAATTTAAAAAAAACTTTTGTACCATTTTCCCCCCTCTAGAAACACATTTACTTCTCAATAACTGCACAGGAGGTGATGGAGGAAGAAGAACCAAGTGAAAAATCAGAGGCTACCTACATGACCATGGTGAGAATGATTCTGGGCCGCAGCTGAGCCAGGTGTCTAGAGGTGGGAGAAGGAGTCGCTAGGGATATGGCAAGCTTGTGGGTGGTGGACATGGCTCGGTAACCTGGGGAGGTTTTTTGCTTAGGGCAGAGATTTTTCTAAATAGTAGAAAAGTCTGAGAAACTGAAGCTCTGCTAGAGAGAAGAGTAATATCAAACTTGCCTTCATATCCAATCTCAAGGATTAAAAGTCATCACTAGAGATCACTGATTTTAGCAGTAAGAAGAGGTGAAGAATGGTCTTCATTGGGAGTAGAGAGTAACTTTGCATCATCAGTAGAGCTGCAATTAAACAAAACCTAATAAAGGGAGGGTGATGGGATCCTTGAACAAGTATTGTGTTGCAGGGGATTGTTTTCCTTCCTGTCAAAAGTAGGAAGTTGTCAAAGTAGGGTATATTCAGTGACTTAATATACTTTGACATAATCTAACTGCCAGGCAGGCTGCATGCTGTATTTCATGTGATAATATGGTGTCTGATTCCTACTTTCCCTTTGCTCAGATTTCTGTAGCTCCCCAGGAAGTTCAGCACATAGAAAAGGCACCTAGCTGTTTAGTGAGTAGGGGTAGGGATAAAAGGAGTTAGCTGGCAGTGAGCACGATGCTATTTGTAGACTAATTATAGGCACCCTGCCCATTAAGGAGCAGTGTTCTGCTGGGTTCAGGAAGGCTAGACTCCTCTGCCTGTGGAATGATGGGCTGTGTTTGTTCCTGTCACACCAGCACAGGACACATGACTCCCAGCTGATTGCAGCAGAGCAAGGTCTGCCAGGGAAGTGTGGGGTCATAGACCTTGTCTGGTTCCACCCAGTGAAACCTTAGTTCCACTCTGAAGTTGCAGATGAATAGAATCATTTTCCTCCTACAACTTTCTCTTGTTATTGCCATGTGATGCCACAGTAACTTGCCAGGCCTCATCCTGGCTCTTAGAGACCTGCTGATACAGCTGCCTTACGGTTACTGCTGTGTGTCACCCACCAGAGTGACACTGTTTGCAGAAAATCTCTGAGGTAAAGATAATATAGAAATGACAGTCATCTTCACAGCCACCTTCCCCATGTTCAGTGCTAGGTGCTTGCAATTTAGACTCTGCGGAAAACAGCACCTCTGTCCTCTTGAATTGGTCCAATAGAGTGAGTGTGATCAGAGGCCAGGGCCCCAAACGCAAAAGCCTTCAAGGGCCGAACAAGTCATTTTAAAACTATGTGCCTAATTAAATAAGTGAACTTGGGACTACAGGCCACTTGTTTGAGACTTCAGGTATAGAGGTGATCTTTAGGGAGCAGGAGTAAAAAAGAACCATTGATTTTGTTGCTGTTGTTGATTGATTAAATTTACTTAAGCGTGGAGGACACCATGCTATTTCCCCTTTCTAAGGCTGTACACACAGTAGTTAGGATCACAAACTTTGGAGTTGGACAGACCTGGGTCCAAATACTGACTCTGTGACTTAGCAGCTAGATGGTCTTGGGCGGGTAACTGAGCCTCTCCTGAGCCTGTTTCTTTATCCTTAAAGTGGGAATAATAATACCTACATCCTGGGTGGTGAGGATCAAGTGATATAATGCACGTGAAATTCAGTATTGGGCCAAGCACATGAAAAACACTTAGTGAATGGCTGCTGCTATTATTATTGAACTACTTCTCACAAGTGTGCTTTGTTTCTTTTCCCCCGCAGCACCCAGTTTGGCCTTCTCTGAGGTCAGATCTGAGCAACCCACTTGAAAAAAAGTCAGCTGGGGAAATGCCAAAAACAAAGCAAGCTTTTTGAGAAGAAAGGAGAGTTCCCTTCATCGTAGCAGTGGCAGAGACCCTTTCCTCTGCACGTGCCGAGCCGCTGCACCAGTTATTTCCAACCCCCCACCCTCCCAGTTGTCCTCCCTCGTTGCTTGGTCAAAGGGCTGAAGATGGAGGGGTTGGAGCCTGGCAGAAAGACTGGACAGTTCTGGAGGAACAGGCCCTGATGAGGGGAGGGGGAGCATGAACTTGGCTGCTCTGGCGTGGACACTGGCCCTGGGGAACCTGGCTGAGCTGCCGTGGTGGCCTCAAGCACTTCATCGGATCAGACCCTTCACATGGGTAGTGTTCTTTGTGGATGAGTTACTGGGAAGCCTCACAGAGATAGAGACCAACCCTAATGATTCCTTTGGTACATTATCCCTCAATAAACATGGTTTGTGGAAATCATCCCATTTCTATGCCCTGGCTGAGAGGCAAGTGGAGTCTTGGTGAGGAATTTACAGTTGGGAACTCCTGGAAGAACTGCTGCTCCTGGAGGAAAGCTGTATGGGGACTCAGCACGCCGGGGCTGGTTTGGTCCTGGGAAAGGATTGGTGGGTGAATGTGTTGGAAGTGGGGTATGAATACAGCTCTGGGATTTAACCCAGTGGTTCTTCATTGCTGGTGGCCCTTTGCTGGGCCTCACCACAGGCCTCCTGATTTGAAATTCCTAGGTGGAGCTTAGGCATCTGTCTATTTCAAAGGTGACACTCATGGGTTGCCAAAGTGGACAGCCACAGATTTAACTCTTGGTCTGAAATGCAAGGTTTCTATACTTTTTGGTTATCATGATAAGATATGATTAGTCTTAAAAACCCTTTGGTTCTGAACTTGGACTTCCAGCCTCCACTCAGTGCCAGTCTCCTTTCCTTGCCTACCACAGGCTCTTTCTCATTCTCTGCATCCCTTTCTTCCCCTTTAGAGGAGGTCTTTTCTGGTTCTCTGATTTCTGATCCATTCTCAAGTGTGGCTGCTTTTTTGAAGGATTTCCCTAACCAAACATTAGTATGTATAACATTCTCTGCATCCCTTTCTTCCCCTTTAGAGGAGGTCTTTTCTGGTTCTCTGATTTCTGATCTATTCTCAAGTGTGGCTGCTTTTTTGAAGGATTTCCCTAACCAAACGTTAGTATGTATAACAAGGGACATCCATTCTGAACTCTTTCTTTTACCAACTGTTCTTGTTTAGCCATGGATAAGAGTCATTAAATGCTTCCCTCTTCTCTGTTAGGTCTAAATGAGGAGTATGTCAGTGGTTAACAATATGTGTATTGGAGGAATATCCTGTCCAAGACATACCAGGGACACATACTGTCATGATAAGTAGAGGGGGGAAGAAGACCCTTTCATATCCAAAGAGTTCATAGAGAGGAAGTGGTTTCATTTCTAGGGTATTAAGTAACATTCTCTCCTGGGCTAAGGGGCCTCCAGAATTTGGCTCTTGGGATGGAAACCATTTCAACCTGTCCACTGGAGACCAGTAAGAAGATAAGCCTCCTTTAAGAGACTGCAGCATTTCTGCAAGCCCTTTAGTCTTGTTCTTTGTTGCCACCACACTCTTTTCCCCCTTTTGGCTAGTCAGTATGCTCACATATCTACATTGGCAATTTTCTTTCATAAAACACTAGTTGTGCGTGTGTGTGTGTGTGTGTGTGTGTGTGTGTGTGTAATTGGAGGGAGTCATGCTGCCACTGAATGAGCTCAGTTACTGAGAGCAGAAGAGCCTTAGGTTGTAAGTTTTATTTCAACACAGACCAGTTATCCTCTTACTAAGCATAAACAAAGTTTCTCAGGACTACTGGCCATCTGTACTAGACGGCTGGTTTTGTGGTCTAGTATTCTTCAAGGAGGTCAGGCAATCCATTACCACTTCTGTAAAACCCGACTGTCAAAACATCTCTTCTTCATCACAAAATAAAGGAACTCAGAGTTTTCTCAGAAAGCTAAGGCCCCTTTCATAGATGGTGACAGCAATAGAACTTTCAAAGGCACTTCTGTAATCTCTGCATCGGATGTTCACGGACTTCTGTGTTCTGGTGCCATCTTGTCTGCCCATCAATACCTTCTTTAAAAACAAAAAATACCAGGAACCCTCTGCTCCATATGTCTTTGTCTTTCCTGCTTCTGAGCCTTTAATCTTGGTGCATTGTTGCCAGGGATGCCCTTTCCCTTCTTGCCTGCCCAAATCGACATTCCTTCAAGGCCCTGCTTGAGTCATGCCTGGGTGATCTCCTATTTCTTACAACTCCCTAGATGTCTCTACACTTGATCACATTTTATCTTCCCTTGTCTTCTAGTTGTTTCATGGGTGTGACACTTTATTTTCTCTCAGAGATCTTAAGCTCTTAGAAATCCTGCTTTAGGCCTTTTCTATGACCCTTGCAGCATCTGACAAGGGGACAATCCCTTGTTGAATAGGATCTGAGGGAATGGAGTGGAACTGTGTGCACAGGGAGTTGCTAGACATGGCCCCTGGTTCTAGTTCTACCACAACTTGGCTGGGTGAGGTCAGGCAGATAGACTTTCTGCCCTTTCCTCAGATGTGAAATAGACATTCACTCATTCTCATCTGATGAGGCACCAGTAGGGGCCCAGCTCATACTTGGAAGAATAGGACACAATTTCTGTCCTTAAAGAGCTACAGTCTAGCTGGGGAGGACAGATGTTTAAATAAATAATGACAATACTCTCTGGCTCCTGTCAGCACAGTGACCAAAGCAATACCAGGCGAACCTTTGCTTCCATACTTGCTGTAGATGGAATTGCACTCATTATGCTGCATTGTGAGTTCAGACATTTATCTCCCTGTCTAGAATGTGAGCTCTCAAAGAGCGAGCTGTATCTCATTCATTTCTGGGTCTCTAGTTTTTAGCCCCGTTCTAGCACATAGGGACCATTAGATAGCTATTTGGCTTTGTTGAATGAGAGACTTGATTGTTAAATACGTGAATGTACCCAGGGTCACAGAGGCGCAGAGAGAAGAGGTATTTAGAAGACCAGAAGTAGGTGACTTTGGAGCAGATTTTTAAAGAAGAACTAGGAGCTTGCTGAGCAGGCAAGAGAGGAAGGGCATTCCTAGAAGAGGAACTGCAAAGGTAAAGTCACAGAGAGGTAGGCTGTATGCAGGGTTGGAGAAACCTTGCCTGGTATGGGCTGGCTTCAGAGGGGTCTGGGGCAGAGGAGAGGGATGAGCGAAGTGAATCCCTGCTTTTTCTATCCATGAGCGGGCTGTCGGGTACTCTGCAGGTCACCCGAGGCCAGCATTTAACCTGAAATTTGTTCCTGCTTACCATTCCGCTCTCTCCAAATCCCCAACCTCGGCGTCCCATTAACCCTTGTTCATGGTATGCAAACCTTTTAATATTGGTTGAAGGCAGTGTTTTTCAAACTTTAATGTACCATTCCGCTCTCTCCAAATCCCCAACCTCGGCGTCCCATTAACCCTTGTTCATGGTATGTAAACCTTTTAATATTGGTTGAAGGCAGTGTTTTTCAAACTTTAATATGCTGAAGAATCACCTGAAGGGCTGGCCAGTTAGCTCACTTGGTTAGAGCATGGTGCTGATACACAAAAGTCAAGGGATTGGATCTCCATACAGGCCAGCCATTAAAAAAAAAAAAAAGAATTACCTGGAGATCTGGTTAGAAATGCAGATTCTGATTCCTTGGGCCTGGGGTGGGGCCTGTGATTCTGCATTTCTAATGATCTCCCAGGCGACACCAATGATGCTGGTCTGGGTACCACACTTTGAGAAATGAGGCTCTAAGGTAAGCATAACTAGGGAGGCTTTCTGTAGCCTCAACTAGGCATTCCATAGGCAAAAGGAAACTACCTTCTTTTGGGTTATTTGTAATAATTACTTCTTTTGGCAGGGTAGGTAATTGAGTGTTGTCTAATAAAATCTTCAGTGATGAATGGTACTGGGCAGAAATGTCAAAACCACAGGGCTTCACTACTAAAAAAATGCCCATCTTCTGTATTGGTGTCTTCATTCCGCAAAGCACCTCTTTGAGTTTTTTCTTCCCAGGCTTTTTTATTGGCTCCTAGGGAAGGTTTACTCTTTTGGAACAAATGGGCATCTGGAGATCCAAGTGGGCTATGGGGAGGATCTAGGGTAACTCTCCTCCTGTCTCCCCTTGTCTCACCCTGCCAGGGCCCCTCACCCTTGATCTGGCTCCTACTGACCTTTGGTCCTGGAGGGCAGAGGAACAAAGGCTGTTCTAAGTCTGGATTCCTAGTTTTTCTTAGCCAAATCCTAGAAGCAGAAGAACTTCTGGATCCATTTCTTGCCTCAGATGCCTCTGAAATAGAAGATTCTGGGCCCAGTGTGAGACCAAGTCAGATAGGTAAGCAGCTTCTTTCAGTTTCTGGGCCTCATGAGCACCCTCAGCTACTTTAAGAAAAAGAAGGAGGTCGGCAACGTCAAACCAAAAATCTCCAGCAACAGGGCTGAGCTGACACGTGTCTGCGGCAGCTTGGATGGCTCTGCTGCAGACAGGGACTGGGCAGGACGGCCAGAGCAGGAGCTGAGGCCTGTGCTGGTGCCACTCTGTTCCTCTGGGCACACCTGTGAGCTGCTGACAGTGGAGGAGGTCTCAGGGCCTGAGGGCAGGAGGGATGGGGCCTGGCCATGGCCACTGGAGGATACTTTTCTCCCTGGCTGCCCTTCCTCTCCTTCCCTGAAATTCCTTCCTATGGATGCTGTGTGCTCTGTGGATGATCCAGCCAGAGCCAGACCCTAGTAAAGTGAAGGAGGCACTTGGGGACAGAGTCTGTGTGAGATGTGGGCATGGACAACTGCAGAGGGCTCTTAGACCATCCACCCCTCTGCCTGCTGGTGCTCTGCCTCTAAGCTCCAGCCCCCTTTGCAGGTTCTCAGCCTGGAACGGCTTCAGAGGCCTGGATTTCACTTCCTTCCCAGTGTCTACTACCCCCATTCCCTCTCCAAATTCATTCATTCAGGTGTGCCCCTGGCAGTCACTCACTGCCTATTTATCAAATCTCTCCTTGGAGGCAGGCACTTGCTGGACTCCCATTTTGTTCTTGCACATTCTGCCCCTTAGCACCTTCTTCTGCATCATCCACAGAGGCTAATTGTTTCATCTGTCTTCCTAGTCTTCTCCCTGTGCCTCTCTAAACAACAGGAGGGTTGGTTCCATGTCTCCTTCCCTCGGCGATAAAGCAGTGTGGAATATTGAAAATGCCCAGTGTTTCACAGAGACCTCAGCTTGAACCCTGGCTCTGACTTTGCCCTTAACTACCATGTGTGAACTTGGGTGGGTTAAGTCCTATTATAAGGCTCTCTATTTCTTCATTTGCACATTAAAAAAAAAAAAAAGGAAGAGAGGAAAAAAAAAAAAGAAATCACCTACTCCAGGATTAAGATTAAATTGAGATATCACGTGAGGAGGAAAAGAGGCCAGAAAACAGAACTGAAGTGACTCCATGTTCGAACGTTAAGTGACTTACTCCTTAGGGCCTAAGAAATCGACCTTTAACTTAACTTGAATTTATTGACATCAGGAAACCCAGTATTGAGACAAAAATATGTATAATCATTTGACTCTGTACCATAAACACAATTGACTTTGTTCTATAGATCAAAGCTTTCCTGGAAACCGGACGTAATCACTTACCTATTATGTTTTAAAACAATATTTGGAAACTTGTTTACTGCTTATGCTTTCCTGTACTTTTACTATAAAAACCTCTTCCTTTTTACCTCAAGTGGGCAGACTTTCCTCTCATTTTGAGAGGCAGTCTTCCCCAGTTTGCAAACCTAATAAACGCCTCCTTAACATTTCCTTACAGACTGAAGTGTTTTGCCTCTACACATGTAAAGTACTTGGCACAGAGTGAATGCACAAAAATATTAGTAGCTCCCTCTTTGGTGCGTGAATGGCCCTTCACCAATGCATGGCATTGCTGAGTCCTGTGTTCTACTTAAGCATCTCCCCAGAAGGATGTGGGTCACCTTCTCTGCTTAGGACCATCTTGGAACTCCATCCCCAAATTCTCCTACTTGTGATTTAGCCTACCTTCTCCAAAAGAAAAAGTTTCAAACATACACAAGAAGAGAGAACTGCCTGGTAGAACCCTTTGCAACACCCATCACCAGTTAGTTTCCACCATCAACACTGATGTCTAGCCCTGTGTCACCTACTTCTCCCACCTCTTTTTTTTCCCCCCTCTGGAATATTTTAAAGTGGATTCCAGTCATCATATCATTTCACCTGTAAGCACTCCAGTGTGTATCTTTAACAGATAAAAATGTGAAAGAACATGACCACCATATTTTTATCACACCCAGTAATGAAGAATTATTTGTTAATATAATCTAATACTAAGTCTACACTTATTTCTTTCCCAGTTATCTCAAAAATGTTTTGTTCTTGTTGATTTGTTTGCATCAGGATTCCCCAAAGGTTCCTATTTCATTCCATTGTACGATCTCTTAGGTGTTTTTACACTAGCCTGTTTTGATATGTTCTGTTTCCAGTAGAAAAGCTAGAACAATGAGGGAGTCATTACTTCCTGAAAGTCTCCCCAACTTACTTCCCTGGACCCCAAATCACACAAAAACAAACATCTCCTTTTTTGGTGCCAAATGACAAAAAAGAGTTCCTCCCTTAAAGCAGCTACCCCCCCCCCAGCAAGTTTTGAAATAAATGGATTTCTCTAACAGCTTTCCAAATCCAGCAATCATCCAAGTGATGAAGAAAGGCAGGATTTGCTTTAGTGCTTGTTTTAGAGGATAAAAATTTCTGGGAACTTTGTTTTTTTTCCCCCAGTCATTTTTGTGCCCTCCCACCTGCTTTTTGAAATCTACCAACCATAATATTTACTCCATCCCCCCTTTTCTCTCTCTCTTCCTTACACACTCCCTCTCTCTCCTCTCTCTCTCTCTCTTTTTAGCTGCAACATACAAGCCGGCCATATTAGAGCGATGGAAATAAAGCTTCCTTAATGTTGTATATGTCTTTGAAGTACATCTGTGCATTTTTTGTTTTGTTTTGTTTTAGCATCTAACCACTCCTCCCTTGTAGTCCTCAGCCCCTCAAATCCACCCTCTCCCATAGCCCACCTGACTAACATCTCAGTCTCTGAAAATGCACAGAGATGCCTGGCTACCTCGCCCTGCCTTCAGTCTCACGGGGCTCAGTCTCTTTTTCTCTTTGGGTAAGTTAGACTCACATCTGCATGCTCCCGAGGGTTCAGAAGTGCAGCCGCAACTGAAAGGGGATGTGGGCAGGGGGCAGGAAAGAAGACATAGCCAGTGCCTCCCTCTGTGTCCTGGAGAACGGAGGTGCTGGGGACAGGGGGAAACATTGCTGGGGACTGCATAATGCTGGGACTACTCGGTCACAGAAATGTTGGGTCAGGGGATCTGAGTGCTGCTCAGGGGTGAAAATTGTCAAAAGAGGTGGTTTTTCTTTGGATTTCTCTGAAGTGGATCTATGTGGGGGTGGGGCAGAAAGTAGATTGATCTGCAGTGTCTTTTCATGGTTTTTTTTTAGCTGCAAATGTGGGGTCCTGGGACTTAATGCTCCTTTAAGGGGATTTTTTTCTCGGTCACAGAAATGTTGGGTCAGGGGATCTGAGTGCTGCTCAGGGGTGAAAATTGTCAAAGGAGGTGGTTTTTCTTTGGATTTCTCTGAAGTGGACCTATGTGGGGGTGGGGCAGAAAGTAGATTGATCTGCAGTGTCTTTTCATTGTTTTTTGTTTTGTTTTTTTTTAGCTGCAAATGTGGGGTCCTGGGACTTAATGCTCCTTTAAGGGGATTTTTGTGTGTGTGTGTGTGTGAACCTTGAACCTTGGGATCTGGTCAATTTAGGGTATCAGGAGAGAGTGTGCAAGGGAGCTGGGGACAGAAAGTTGAGTCTGGGTCAGGCTTCCTGGAAATCGGTCCCGCTGATCTGTTGGAATGTTTGTGGGAGTATAGGAGAAGCAGGCTGGAGGAACGATCTCTGGGTTGGGAGGAGACCTGCTGAAGCAGGCATGGACGGAGAAGGCACCTCTGGCTTGGGCCACATGGAAGGGAGGAGGGGTCAGGTAAAGGGATTCAAGAAAAAAAGAAAAAATGGGAACCCATGGGCTGAGTGATGTTGTGGTCCTTTAAAACTAGTCCCGGAACTGTCCAGCACAGTCTTGCAGACGGCCCTGTCAAATGGTCCCAAATGTTAATTTCATATTTGACCACTCACAGACTTCCTGGTGAGTAGGTGGACTAGAAATTTATTTGCAAGACTGCTTTATAGTTTCGGTCTTGCTCCTAAACATACTCATTCCTGGCGCAACAACCGAGGGTCAAGCCCAGGGAGCGTCAGTGGGAATATTCCCCATCCAAAGCTTTTCTCTCTCTGTGGTGTGATGTGCTGGGTATTGGGCAGGAATGCTATGCAGAGACAGCGCCGAGCCCCTGGCAGCCTGCATGATAAGGCCTATTAGCTAGCTGAGTTATTTGGCATATTAAAAACAGAGCAGGAATGTTATGGAAGCTCCGGCAGTAGAAAGAACATGAGCCTTGGAATCAGAGCTGGGTTTAAAGCCACCTTTGTCATTTAGTTAATGACCATAGGCAAGTCACTCAACCCCTCTGAGCTTCAGTTCTCTCATGAGTAAACTGGAGATGCCTGCTGCCTCGCGTGTTTGTGATCTGGCACATAGCAGGGGCTCAACAGTAGCTAATCTTAGCACTTTTCATTAGCCAAGGTGCTGTATATTTGTTTAGTCCTTACAGCAATCATATGGGGTAGATGCTATTATTATATTCATGTTACAGGGAGGAAGCAGGCACAGCAAAGTTAAGTAGCTCACCCAGGAAGGTCACATGATTAGTATAAAGGGAGCTGAGATCTGAACTCCCATGTATCTGATTTCAGCACGTTCTCTTAAACATTGGACTCTACTGCCACTGAATGTTCAAGGAATGGTACTGCTATATTGGCAGTAATTGATCAAAGCATCTCAAGTGCAGGCCAAAAGAGTGGGAGTTGGGTGAATGGCCTGGATGTAAGGACCCTGCACTGGAGCACAGGCAACCTCCCTCAGGAATTAGGGAGAGCTTCCCATGGGATGGAGGCCACTGTGTGGGAGCCTTATCTAAGTGAAGAAAGTAGGGGGCTGGGTGATCAGGACTGGGAGCCCTGGGCTAGAGTGTGGCTTAGGGGAAGATGGTGTCCGGGATGAAGAGGTCTGGGTGTGACAGCTGTGAGGTGGTGGTGGGAGGAAGCCACAGCTCCTGCAAACCTGAGTGGGGGAAGATGCAGGAAAAGGGGGCTTGAACTTGAACTTGAATGGGGCTGTAATGTGGCACACCCTTGGCACTCCAAGGCTGAGAGCTGGGTGGACAATGGAACTTCTGTGGTTGTGGTGGCATCTATCACCAGGATGGAGGGATACCACACATGACAAGAGAGGGGACTGTGTCAGGGGCTGGGCTGGTGGGGGTGACTACAGCACTGGCAAGGAGAATAGGCAGAGCTGGCAACCAGCTGTCCACACAGCAGAAGCACATGGGATTAGTTTTTAGATAGAAACAATCTGCATGATTGGAATTCTCTAGAGTTTTTTTCAAAACCATTGACTCTGCGGCCACTGGCCTGGTCACCAAAGTCTGGGTTACATTAGAAGAGGCTTAGAAGGTGGAGTCTGGTCTCACTCAAGCCCACTGCACACGTCTGCTGCTGGTGGCAGGGACCCAGACATGGAGGGGAAATGTCTTTCCTTCCTCCAGCAGACTCTTATTGAGTGCCCACTGAGTGCTACATACTGGTCTGGGTGCCAGGGATGCCAAGACAAAGAAGAATCAGTTCCCCAGGTCCTCTCGAGAGACGCAAGCACTAAATAATAGTACAACATTGGATGTGCTGTGATAATAACAATAACGACAATAATGATAAAAGCAGCTCACCCTGTCAAGGGCTCACTATGTGGTGGGCACCATACTGAGTTTTATACACGTAGGAGGTCATTTAATCCTTGCAATGCCCTTATGAGGTAGGTCCTATTATTGTCTCCTTTATTACAGATGAGGAAACCGAGGCACTGGAAGGTTAACTCTCTTGTCTAAGATTAGGCCAGGGCACTAGCTAGAGCCCTGGTCTTGGCCTCGACTCTGTTCTGCCACCGCGCTACGTGAAAGAGATAGGAACGGGGCTGGAGAGAGAACAAGGACACTGGAGAGGCATCACCGAGGCTGTGTCTTGTGAGCTGGGATCTGGACGATCAGTAGGAAGGTCCCAGGGGCAGAAGGGTGAATGAGCTTCCCACCCTGAAGCAAAAACATGTGCAAAGTCGTGAAGAAGGGAAAGAAAGCAGTGTTTTCAGGAAAGATAAGAACTTGGGGGTCACTGGAG